CGCATGTATCTGGGGTGTGTGTGTGCATGTGTGCACCTGTGTGTGCGTGCAGCGTATCTGCGTGTTGCACGCATGTATCTGGGGTGTGTGTGTGCGTGCATGCGTGTGTGCACCTGTGCATGGAGCGTATCTGCGTGTTGCACGCATGTATCTGGGGGGGTGTGTGTATGAATCTGGTATTTGTGTAGTGTGTGTGTGTGTGTGCACGTGCGTGCGCGGCATCTGCAGGTTGCGTGCGTGTATCTGGGGGGTGTGTGTGCGCGCGCGGCATCTGCGTGCTGCGTGCACGTATCCGGGCCGCGTGTGCCTCAGCTGCTACCTGGGGCGACCCTGAACGGACACGCCCGGGCTCTGCCGTCTGGGGACACGTGGCCTGCATCTCTGCCAAGACACGGTCCAGCGCTTTGTCTGCCTCCCTGAACGAGGGAGACGCTCGCCTGGCTTTAGCCACAAACACGCCCCGAGTCTCTATTGTCACGTGGTCACAGTATCTGGGGAGATGTTGCAAAAACGTCCTCTTTCTCCAACCGACGAACGGTTTTTGCCCAATGTGGTGTGTTTGTAATTTCACACTTTTACATTTTTCCGGGGCGGCGGGCGGGGGGTGGGGTGGGGTGGAGAATAGCTCCATCTTGACTTTTAAACTTAAAGCAAAACTAAATTTAGTAGCTGCGGGCTTGTCAATAAGCTCCTCAAAGAACCAGGGGGACCGGCATCTTTCCTGAAACTGGCCCTTCTCTAAACACTGCTGGAAATGCAGGTTTCTGATAAGGCCTATTATGTCAGTAGGAAACAGTGTCTGGCTCCCAGCCTCTGGGCTCAAGGTAAGGCTCTGTACCATTGTAGATGCCCGGACTCCACCCAAGGAGAGCCACAAATGCCTCACCTGCGCTTTAGACGCCGCCGGTCTGCGATCAGAGCCCCACCCCCCGCCCCCCAGCCTCTCCCAAAGCACCGAGCACCACCTCCGAGTCCTAGGTGCCCAACCCCCCGATTAGGAACAGAATCAGGACCCTGCACTGGCGGGCATCCACTGCGAGAAATCCCGTAAAGAGCCCTTTTGCAGGACAATCTGGATCCCGCGGCTGATGTCCACCGGCCTCATGGGGGGGGGGGGGGGGCGGCTCCCGAGATGATCGTAGAAGCCACGCGTGGCACCACCCCGGGGCAGACAGACGTGCTCACGGGCAGTGGCACCAGGGATCCCGCCGCTGGGCACACCCAGCTGAGATTCGTGGAAAACCATGGCGGCGCCGTGGCTTGGTTACCTGTCGACATGCTCTCCCCGGGGGCCATGCCGTCCAGCACGGGGTGCTCCGTGGACTGCGGACTCGGGGCTGGCAGGCTGACTGTGGGAGGCTGAGGGGGCGGCAGGGTGGGTCTCTGTCGGGGCTTGGGGGTGGGCCGAGATTTGGCTGCAGTGCTTGGGAAGCCGGCAGGGGAGGTGAGGGGAGGGGCCGCGGCCGCCGCCGGGGAGAGCTGACCGGAGGCCAGGGAGTACCCCTGCGGGTAACTCAGTCCGTAGGGCGATGGGGTGCTCGGTGGGGTGGGGGACAGGCTGAGCGGGGACGGCTGGCCGGCGGACTGGTCGGTCATAGCCCCCGGCTGGCCGAAGGGGACCTTGGGTGGAATCGGAGCCAACTTCTTGGAAACTGAAAGAGAAAACACAGGCGCACACAAGGTCATGAAATGAAGCCGGCTGTCCCCGAGGCCCCCTCCCTCCGCTCCCCCCGCTCGACCCGGCTCCCATGACAGCCAATGCAGTTTCTAAAAATTCACCTCAAACTGCAAGTTTTCATGTCTCCCCCTCTGCTCCCTAATCTCCCCTTCCCTGGATTGCTGCCACGATCTACACGGCCCTGGCCGGAGCGGAGAGCAAATTTCCCGTGCACGGGCCGTGGCCGGCCGCCCAGTGTCCTCGCTTCACTTCGCGGTGGTAGAAGGTGTCGGGGGTACACAGAGGAAGGGGGAGTCGGTGACACAGGGCCCAAGAGGGACGACTGGAGTGGGGCGGGCCGGAGCTGGGGGAGCGTGGTGGGACAGGAAATGCTGGCTTTTGGCTGCCCCTGCCCACGCCAGCTCCTGGATCCTGAGAGAGCCACAGACGGCCAAGTCCTCCCCCGACTTCTCCGTACCGCCCCGTCCTGTGTACCTGCCTCCCCCGTTTTCCTTTCCAGACTCGGGCCCTCTGGGCGTAGACTCTGCAGATGTATGTACTGCGGGCTCCCCCTCCTCATGCTGCCTTCATCCCCCTCCTTTTATTGACTCGATCGTGCGACACGATTACGAACACTTGACACCTTTCACTGACACTGAACCCGTAAGAATGACCAAATCGGACACCGGGACGATCCTGTCCAGGGGCAAACGTTCTGAGAAAGCGATCACTCACGTGTCAGGATTAAGCGAGGGCTGCTGGGCACGGCGCTAAGTCCACAAGGAACCGTCTTTTAGGTGCCCAAGGAGGCCTCGGGCACTCTTCTCTCCCAGCTCCGCTCGCCCTCCACCCCCCACGGAACAAAATCTACTCTAACGATGGCGCGTGCTCCCCGGGCTCCGTCAGCGTGCAGCATGGACAAGACAAGGACATGGGCTCTCCAACGCGGCTTCAGCTCCCTCCCTCGCCTTAACCACCCCGTGCCCTGACAGTCGATCTAAACCTCTGCTCCACAAGACCAAGGACGGTGGATTCCCAGGACTGTAGCAGTTACAAAGCCTCGTGCATGCAAAAGCATCACAGAATCGTGACCCGTCCTACGAGCGCTTCTCAGCCATCGAACCCAAGGACCGGGTGGCCTCTCCCAGCAGCTGCTCCAGCAGCTCCCGACGGCCGGGCGGCTGATGCCAGGATCGCTCACTGGGCGGGCAGCTGGCGGGGGCCCTGTGTCTGGAAGGGAGTCCCCCCATCTCCCCGCGGTGCCCTGGAACCGTGCTCCACGCCTCCCCTTCTGCCGCTCTGACTTTCGGGGGAAGCCAGAAAGGCCGGAACCGAGAACATATTCAAGCAGATGTTCTTTTGAGTAAGTTCGAGGCTTGGCTTAAGAAAGAACGTAAGGTGGGGGCGCCTGGGTGGCTCAGTTGGTTGAGCGACTGCCTTCGGCTCAGGTCATGATCCTGGAGTCCCTGGATCGAGTCCCGCATCGGGCTCCCTGCTCGGCAAGGAGCCTGCTTCTCCTTCTAACCCTCCCCCCTCTCATGTATTCTCTCTCTCTCTCATTCTCGCTTTCTCAAATAAAAAAATCTTAAAAAAAAAAAAAAAAGAACGTAAGGTGAAAACAGACTGAAAAAAAAAAAAAAGTTTAAGTACACCATCTATGCAGCTCTCCGTTTACGAAATGTCACCGCAGAGCATGTCCTTAGCTTTGGGAAGGTCATTTCAGAGAGAATAACTGGGCCTCTGAGCGCGGGTTCCGTAGCAGATCCTGGGTCGGGCGGCTCCTGGGTCAGTGTACAGACTCTCAGCCTTCCAGAAGCATCGAAGGCCAGCACTCCCGTAGCCACAATCCCAATTCCCTGCTCCATGTCACCTTCTAGAAACAATCCCAGGGGGAGGCAGCCATGCCAGACCCCAGCACAAGACTCCACACAGCATCTTAAGAGGTGGCGGTAGGGCCTGGCAGGGTCCGTGGAAGACACGTGTCGTCGTGGACAATGGGGTCTGCACAGAGGTCTCAGTGTATGGGATGCAATGCCCTGCGTACCTGCCACCCACCCCCCCCGCCCCCCAGAGCCTGCTGCTCAAGTGAGAGACACGAGGAACAAAGATGAAGTGGTCCCTCTTGGAGTTGGTTAACTGCCCAAAGCGCTTAACGCCCAGCCCAGGGGTTTTTCACGAAGTCACACGGTCTCTCAACATCCACGCTAAGCGAGGGGCACGAGTGTCCGGGCAGCGTGAGAGCTGTCCCCAGCCAGAGACCCGTGTGAAGGGTCACGGTGCCGTACCTTTCCGGAGAGTGTGCGGGCTCTGGTCGGGGGGCGGCTGACTGGGGCTGGCGCCTGCTTGTGCCCCCGGCTGCGTCCCTGCGCCGGGCGTCCCCTGGCTGGAGCCTGCACTTCCCTTCTGCCCAGATCCCGGAGAAAGCTCCTTGCTTTTCGAAGTGCTGGAACAGAAGCACACGAGACGAGTAAGCGCCCCCGAACTCCGCGAGGCCAGCGCAGCACCAGCCTGCGGGTCGCAATCCCACGTGCTCCGCTGGGCCAGCTCCTGGTCTGCCCCACGCCCTTCGGAGATGCTCCGGGAGAGGTGACTGTCCCTTCTTGGGCTCTGGGGACCTGCGTTCCTCTCCGACCTCCACACCCCAGGTGAGAGCGCCCTCTCCACGCCTCTGCCCTCTGTCTGCCAGGAGCCTACGAGCATCCCCACTCTGTGTTGTGGCCACGGCTCTCTGATTCCCTGACCTCCACGGCACAGCCCCGAGCAGGGGGAGGCTTCTGGGGCCCAGCCTGGTAGCAGTCCCAGCAGGTGGGAGGGTGAACACAGCCCCCCAACCCCGCTGTGCTCCCAAATATGGCCAGTTCAAGTCCCAGCCCCCCAGGCTTGGGGGGGGCGGTCAGGGCCAATGGCAGGGAGGGCCTTTGGCATCCCTTGAACTGACAAAGGGACACCCTGAGTCACCATGTCCCAAAGGGGATGCATCCTTCACTGTTGCCTCTCTGCCAGGCATTGTCCTAAGGAGAGAGCACATACTCCACAGAACAGGGACAGCAAAGAGATGGCCAGCTGGTCACTCCCCCCCGTCCCCCAACACGCCCTCCACGGCAGACATTCCTAATCAAGCCCCAGATGTCCCCCCACCCCGAGCCCCTCCAAGGATTCTCGCTCTTTCTCCCACTTATGCTGGAGGCAGCCTGTAGCAAATCAGGATGAAAGCTGTCACCCTTGTTAGAAACCACCTGGATCCTGATGCCCTCGGGTATCAGGCATGGGGCTAGGGACCTAAATCCTTCACAGTGTGAAGGCAACCTCTTCCCCACAGAAACAGGCAGAGCCTATTTTGATCCCTAAATTTATCCAGAGGCCCCAAATATTAAAGACCTAGAGATACGCCACCCCTTCCCGGCGGGGTACGGCCAGAAGGGCTGGGAGGCAGGGACCGGGGCTGGAACAGCAAAATCCAAAGTACAGCTGGTTTTCCCCAAGTAAAGGAGTTAAGGGAACGTCATGTTCAAGGCTGCGATAAGCTCTCTCCTTCTCAGGGTGAGCTTCAAACCACACCTGGGTAATCCGCCCCCCCCACCCCGCCGCCCCCACCACCAAAGCCATTTCATCCAGAGGGGCTGGAAGAGCGACTCCTTGCTCTGTTTAACGAAAAACAACTCGGGGGGCAAGAACCTGTCTTTTATTCTTCCTCAGGCCCAAAGTCACCAGGCACCCAGGTATTAAGGCCAAGTACCTATATACCCTTCCCTCCACCTCTGTCACCGTCAAAGGGAAGTTAAAACGATAAAAAGAAAACATAAAACAAGCAACAAAACTTGCTTCTTGTGGGATACCAGACTCTTCTTCCTTCCTTTGGATTGACAAGACATCTGCCCTGGGAGTCTAGGGACCCAGCAGCTCGTCCTTATTTTCCCGCCCACCTGATGCGCTCCTCCCCCGCCCCCCGACCACCCAAACAGGTATTTACCTACTTAGCCTCGCTGCTCTCTCTCCAGCATAAGTGCAGCTGACCCAGTGGGGAGAGGTGGGGCGTAAGATGGTTACTAAGGAGCGCTAGATGGAGGCAGCTTGGTTAGGACACACTCAAGGACAGGTTAGTTCTGGGGACACGTGACGCAGCGAGCTGGGGTGCGAAGGGGCAGGAAGCAGCGTTCGGGGGCAGAGTTAATGCCAAGCAGAGGAGTGGGAAGCGGAGGCTGAGCCTGGCTGGAGAGAGCCGCCAGGTCTGGATGGGGTGGGCCTGGGTGGAGAATGGGGAGGCTGGAGCAAGCCAGAGGGAGGGCAGGGCCTGACATCCGGGGGGTGGGGTGGGGGCGGACAGGAATCCAGCAACTGGAGGAAACATCACCTGGGCTGCAAATGTCCAGAAAACAGAAAAAACAAACAAAAAACCAATGGAACACCCGTTTGTATTGGGAAGAATCCATGTGGGCAGACAAAAAGAATGGTAGAACATGGGCACCCAAGGGAAAGCCTTGGAGGTGGGCACCCCCAAGAAAAAGGGACGGTATGAGCAATGACAATGGCCTCTTAAATACTCTGAACCCACGGGTGATGCTCCCGGCTCATGAGTGAGTCTCTGGGCCACCCATCTATGACACTCCGGGAACACCTTCAGAGGCCGGGGAAATCCATCTTTGAGGGGCGTTTTCTACAAATATTTTTAATAGGTCAAATAGCGTTTAGCACGGGGTGTCGGTTGTAAGATGGGAAATTAGGATGAAGCCAAGAAGAGCGCAAAAGGGGAACCGTTGGAGATCTCCTGTCTATTTGCTCATTTCCTCGTCAGCCTCTCTGGTCCACAGCGATCCTTCTCTGCATCTCTGCAGGACTTGCTCTCCCGCACCTGCCTCTCCCAAGGGGACCTGACGCCTAGTGAGTGCACAGCCAGGGCTGGCGTCCTCATGCCCTGAGCTGGAGCCATCAACGACCCGAGCACATCCACTGTCAGCTCCCCACTCCTGAACGCTGACTGTCCCGTTTTCCTTTTGTCATTTCCCTACTTCATGGGGAAAATGCCTTCTACTCACTAAAAGAGGAGAGAAAAACAAAAAAACAAAAAACCCAACCCTGCAGTCCCTTCATTTAGGGAGGTGGTATTTGTGTGTGAGCGTATGTGTGTGATAAAGATCGGCTGAAGGGGTGCCGTCAAGTGTCCGACTCTTGGTTTGGGCTCAGGTCCTGATCTCAGGGTCATGAGATGGAGCCCTGCATCGGGCTCCATGCTCAGCGCGGAGTCTGCTGAAGATTCTCTCCCTCTCCCTCTTGTGCTCTGTCTCTCTCTCTCAAATAAATCTTAAAAAAAAAACGATTGGATGAAAAGGTTCAGCTTCCCAAAGCCTCCAAAATTTTTTTCAGCAGGACGTGGAGGAATGCTACCCCCGCTAACAGAACACACAGCGGCCTCGGATTTGAAGTAGTTTTCCCACTTCTCAGAACTTGTTCCATTCCCACTTCGAGGATGCCCCTTCCGAGGAAGGGCCACACGAGGCCCCTCTGCGCTGGGACCCTGTATGGCCATGTGCCCTGCTCCTGCGTCTGGTGTCTGCGTGCTGGGACGGGACTGTCTTAACGGCACAGACCCCACGTTTTATCTCTGGATGGACTCCGTCCCCCATAAACATTCACTGAACTAGGGGTGCCATGAGCTCGCTCGCTTTCTTCTTCCCTGGAACAAATGGAAACACAACCCAGCATCACACTGCACGGGGGGGGCCCCAGGCCCCGAGTGACCACATGACCGCCACTCCTTCCCTGATTTGCGCCCGCGTAAGCAGGGAAAACGGCTCCTCCGAATCTAAAGGTAGAGAGGAGAGAAAGGGAGAAATACCGCAACCCCGCGTTGCGAAACCGGGAAGTCATTCCGGCAGAAGAGAAGGGGGGACAAGAGTTGGCAACTTCCCGCTCTCGCGGCCTTAGCGAGCTGCCACCTTACACGCTTGCTGGGGGATGCTCTTCTCGGGAAGCCCGGGGGGCTCCATCCGACAATTCGGGGGGAGTTGGGGGGGGTGTGCTGGGAATCCTGGGAATCCCTCGCTGCGTACCAGCAGGATGCAGAACGCCAAACGCAAAGGCTCGGGAACGGGGAGGTGACAGCATCCTGGAGCGCGGCCCACCCGCCCCCGTCCCGCGTGCGCGCGCGCGCGCCACGGCCGGCCTGGCCCCGC